CCCCTGAGTGACTACAAAATTTGTGCAATAAATTAAAGCGCGGTGGTCGTCACGGTTTATAAACATTGATTTTCCCACAATCCAATGTGCTCTTCAAATGGAAATCATAAGTATGAGGTTTAACCTGTGCATGACAAGCACTGAATACCACCGGCGACTCCTTCAATACCTTTCAATCACCTAAAATTACTAAATGAATGAAAGCCTGGAAACGTCTCAGTTAGTACTCGTTGATCTGCGTTGAAGTCGCCATCTTTGTTTATATGAGACCCATAAATCTTGTGCATGCGTGGCGCAACGACTGCCACCCTTTAAAGCAGCAAAATGAGTTTACTAAATTCCTCAGAGACTTTTACTCAAACTTTTACTTTCATTTCTTTGACGTTCATTTTTTTATACTTTTATATCTATCTATAGCATGCAGCAGCAGCTCACAGTGCATTCTGGGAAAATGAGGGAAAAACAAACCTCAGGAAATATTATTTATGAACAGCCAGAAAATGAAAAAATAACAGGGAATGAAAAATATGATGAGAGGAACAGAATTGTGGAACTACCAAAAACAGACATTAAGGAGAATGAAAGGAACGAGTTAAACAGTGATATGCCAAAAAAAGCATCTCGCCTTGTGGAAAATATTAAAAAAGAGCTTTTTGAACGAAAACCGCCCAATAAGCATATTGAAGTTCCCGAGGATTATGATGATGTGGAGGAAAGTGAGGAAGCGGCAAGGGAGGAAAATAGAGATGAAAATAACAATGGTGACGAAGAGAGGATGGAAGAAAGTGAACACAATGATGGCGGAAATGCAGAATCGAAAGATAATGTGCCAGTTAGAGATGAAATAGTTGAGGAGACGCATGATGGAGATGCAAAAGAGAATAACATTGATGTTGCCTTGGAGATGGATGAGAATGGTAACCACAGAGAGATCGAGACCTTTTTCACGCAAGTTGAGAGCACGTAAGTTTTTTGTCCCAACAATTTAAGTATGAATATATCATGATGCTACCATGAGGACACAGCAATGTATGCTCAACGGCGTCACTGAGATTGTATAATGGAACAACATAGTGTGGAGGTCAATAGCATTCTGTACTGTATTATTATACATCTTTTCTCTAGAATAGACGCCGATGCATTTAGAGACTGGTTTCTATTTCCATCTTACGCTATAGTACCTGTCTCTGCATCAATTGTAAACAAAGAAAATACGATGTCAATAAGCTGGAAAGCGTTCGACGTTTGTGAAATATTTCAAAATTTGTTGACAAGTTTTTGAACTAATGTACCATAGATTCTGTGAATTCTATCGTTTTTGGTGCCACACGTATAACATTGAAGGGCAGTGGTTGTCGCACCACGTCCTGTTTGATATGGGAGTCATAGCAACATGTGACATATGTATGTTGTTCGTTTACATGAAATTTGAAGACGCACTGTGCTGCAACCACTGCGCTTTAATATATAATAAGTGAAAAACTTGTAATAATTTTGATTTGGAAACATTTGTATTTTGTTCATGATGCTGAGCAAATCATTGAATTACTAAGGTCTCTTAAAAACCTCTTCAAATATAATTGAAAACTAAAAATACATTATAATTTTTATAATATAAAAATTGAAGAAATTATATGAATACTAATTTGTTGCAGTTTTGGAGATGTTGTGTTATTTGAGGATCCTGAACTTGGTATTCAAGACGCAATTCCTGTGAAGTCATTCCTTCAGGCAAATGAAGATTTTTTACCGTTGTGTGGTAAGTTTAAATTTGGTTGTATTTCATTCAAAATTGATGTACCGGTAACAAAATATCTTCAGATAAGGAAAACCAGAATTCATCAGATTTCAAATTTTCTGGGATTATCTTGTCTGTTCCACACCAGCCAATAAGTGTACAGCCTGGTGACTCATCACAAGTTGCATGTCACATTTTCATCCAAAAAAAATGGCATCAAATGACAGGTTGGAGATTGACCAATGGCAAACAGTAGGCAGTGTGCACTATAAATAGGCCTTAGCCTTTTCAATACCAAACTTTCTCGCTCAAATTTTCTACACTTTTTTAGCTCTTCTGTTGATGAGCGGAGCTTATCTTATGTCCGTCGACGTCCGTCTGTCGCATACGACTTATTTACCACTTCCGTGTCACTGAGAATGTTCTAGAACCGTACTGTGTCTGGGTGGAATATTCTAGATTTTGTTTAGAAACTGGTTGAATCGGTAATAGAACACTGTAGGAGGCAATAGAAGGTAATGGAACATTCTAGAAATTTGTAGTAAGTTCCAGACTCATTATCGTACATCGGCCGCGTCAACTTTTTACTTTTTGACTTGTTTTTGAAAAACTGCTTTGATACTTGGTGTATATGTACCGTACCTTGGGTAGGCCTCTCTTAGATTTGTTTATTTCGTGATGATATCTTCAATTCCCTAAATTTGGTGAATATTTTTGTCATTTGGGGTAAAAAGTGATATTATTGACTTCTTGTTAAAAACCGCAAGTCCTATTGCTTTGATATTATATATATAGGCACTACATGTGGTCCTCTCTCAGATTTGTTCATTTTGTGTTGATATCTTCATTTTGTGTTGATATCTTCAAAAACTGCAAGACTGATTGCTTTGATATAACATATATGGGTACTACGTGTAAACATCTCTCAGATTTGTTCATTTCATTATGATATTTTCAATTCTCTAATTTTGGTGAATATTTTTGTCATTTCTGGTAAAAATAATAATTTTGACTTGTTAAAAACCGCAAGTCCGATTGCTTTGATAGAACATATATAGGTACTACATGTAGACCTTTCTCAGATTTGTTCATTTTGTAATGATATCTTCAAATCTCTAATTTTAATGATTATTTTTGTCTTTTTTGGTAAAAAGTGATATTTTTTACTTCTTGTTGAAAACAGATAGTTTGATCGCTTTGATACTATACATATTATTTATTTTCTAATGATATCTTCAATTCTTTAATTGAAATGTGCAATAATGGAGCTATCTCAGCCGACAGGCTGCTTGTTAATATACAGTAGAATGTTTGTTTCCCCATAATGCACTGCAAATATGTGCAGTACTAATTACTCATTATAGTGAAATATTTGAATTCAGCACAAACCTTATTAATTTTTATCTATAACATTATGACACTTGTATTAAATCATATCATATTTGTATGTCATACAAGTTTTGCTTTTTTTGCAGATCACTTTGGTCGTGCATTTGGAAAAGCAAGGAGTGACTTGGTGCTGAACTTTGAAGTATGTATCTTAGGCCCTGTCTGCTTAATAAAGTGTGTAATAATTAATGAAACATTTGTAATCATGGTGGTCATATATAGGCTACTAGTTTGATAAAAGTTAATACACTTTTATTATTGGTTAATAAATCATCAACTGTATTAATCAGCCAAGGTCTGACATTTGGATTAATCAATTTTATGTAGGTATGTTTACATTGCATGTCAAATACACTTTATTTCACCTGGAATTAATTTTCGCCATTTTGGGTGTTTTGTATGGATTTTATTTTCACTGATTTTTGACAAGTTGAATGTAAATAACAAGATTTCATTTTCACTGAATTATTCCTTCTGTGAAAATTAATTTCAAGCGAAAATAAAGTTTTAACAGTATATTGTAAGCTTGAGTATGCTGTGCTGACGATTGATATATGCATTGTATGTGACAATGATGCTACGCCTATGTGCGATTTGTGTTGATAAACATTAATTTTTAGTCCCTGTTCGGATACAGTCCAAAAACGGGGACTTACATGTATGTTTTGACCTCCGTGCGTGCGTCTGTGCGTGCGTCCGGACCTGTATCTTAGAAATGCCTGGACCAATCACAATCAAACTTAACACATACATCATACATGATATTATACATGTGCACATCAATTTGTTTCACGATCTGATTCAAGATGGCCGAATGGCGGCCATTTTTGAGCTAAAAATTTTCAAAATCAAGCATTTCTCGGCTGTTTACAGATGGATTTTGTTCAAACTTGGTATATACATTAGACATTATAGGACCTTGATGCACATCATTTTGTTTCAGGATCTGATTCAAGAAGGCCGAATGGTGGCCATTTTTGTGCTAAAAAATCCTAAAAATCAAGCATTTCTCGGCTGTTTACAGATGGATTTTGTTCAAACTTGGTATATACATTAGACGAGATATGGGACCTTGATGCAAATAACTTTGTTTTTTAGATAAGATTCAAAATGGCTGACTGGCGGCCATTTTGTTTTAATGATTGTGGCTCTCGTGCCATATCTCTGACTTGCTTTCACTGATTATATTCAAATTTGAAATATTCATTATACATGATGTCATAGATAGACAGATATATTGGTTTGATGATCCTATTCAAAATACCCAAATGGTGGTCATTTTTGTGCTAAAAAATCATTATATATCAAGCATTTCTGGCATTTATGGATGGATTTCGTTCAAACTTGGTACATACATTACACGGGTTCCTGATGCACGTCATTTTATTTTTCAGATTGGATTCAAAATGGCTGACTGACGGCCATTCTGCTTTAATGATTGGGGTTCTAGAGCCATATCTCTTAAATGCTTTGACTGATTATATTCAAATTTTATATATTCGTTATACATCATGTTATATATATAAATGTATTCAAAATGACTGATTTTGAATGCTGTTCCAGAGCAATATCTCTCAATATGGACAAGTACTTGTTTGACGATCAGATACAAATGTCAATCATTTTAATGTTAAAATATCATATTCCTGACATGGTTATATTCCAGCTATTCTACTATGTTCCATAATCCAATGAGTTCGCCCAGTAATATGCATGAACATTGAATTGTTCCAATCTGGATACGATGTGTACTAAATACTAAATTTAATTGAAATACCGGTAATCATTAATGCATTTCATCCATCCTAGGAATTGCCTAGTTTGTAACATCTTTTTTTTTACAGGTTGATCTGTTAAATACTCGCCATCTGGTTTCCATAGAGCTTGCATGGCATATTGACCACTGCGTTTTTAATAATTAATATACAGGCTAAAAATAATAAACTGAAAATGTAATTAAATAAGTAATTTGCCAAATCATGCATCTTTGTATACAAAAAAATTTCAAATGAAAAAAAACAACACTACCTGGTAATTATCATTAGTAAATTAACTTAATCAGTATTAGACTGTCGACAGTCTTAAGGTCTGATTTCTTAGTATACTAAATCGAAATGTTTGCGAGAAATGTCGCTTGTAAATGCCCTCACGCAACATTAAGTGGTTTTCCATCGGTACTGAACAGAGAATGATTAGTATATTTTAGTATACCGGTACTAACAAATTAGGCCCGAAGACTGTCGACAGTCTAATTGTGTATGTCAAAACATGATATCCATTACAAATACTGCAAATCATGTAAATTTCTCAAGAGGCATATTTTGTAGCAGAGGATATTTTTGTGGTCATACAACATATGAATGGAGTGACAAGTATTTTTGAAACTTTTGCCCTCATGAATGTCGTAAAATCCTCAAATCGCTAAATTTTCTAGCAGGGAAAATTAAGTCGTTATAAGTATTACATTAAAAATTTCAAGCAGATTTTATTTTCAAAAAATTTATTATTACAATTTTGTTTATATTTTCAGAGAATCAGAACTCGATATAATGAAAATCCAGAATTATACACCAATTTGCAACGTCTTATTAACGTTGAGTTTGAAATGAAAGAAGACGATCAAGTTGCTACAAAAGGGATCAGATTCCTGAAAAGGTAGGAATAACAATTTTAAAGCGGGGGAGTCGTCACCTACGCATGCGCCAGATGGCCATAGCGTGTCATTGTTTATAAACAAGCGTCTATCCATGAGGCTTTGCGTTATTAGCGAGTGTTGTTATCATCGATTGGTTCTCAATTCCTGCATGTGTACAGGTGACGACCTTCCCGCTTTAAATATCTGTTTTTGCTCATAATGGTCATTCATTCAGACTATATTCTAAATTCTGAAATGTAACTTTCAGAATTTTTCAGTTGATTTTGTGTATCAGTGTTTCGGAATAAACTATCTTGTACAAGACCAAATAAATAGGATTGTTTCTTGTCATTGTTTGCGTCAGTTTAAAACAGGAACATCTCACATTTTTGTGAAGTGTGCCATATACAGAAGAGTATGGAAATGATTGTTTTTTTGTTTCAGAAGATGTTTTGTCAATTCAAATCTTTAATACATGTATATGAAAACATTTTTATTAAATGATAAACATTGAACTTTAATACTTCGTAGTATAGATATTAAATAATCTTATAACTGTCAGTGGTCATCGCATCGCACAAGTGTTTGTGTTGATAAACATTGATTTTCCCACAATCCAATGCCCTCTTCTAGTGAAAATCACAAGTATGAGTTTTGACCTGAGCACGATTTGCAGTAATTACCGCCGGTGACTCCTTCGATACCTTCCAATCACCTAAAAAATACCTAATTACACTTGGTAATGTTTTAATTTGTACTCGTTGGGCTGCGCAACAGTCAAAGTCGCCATCTTTGTTTACATATCTCGTACATGCGTGGCACAACGACCATTGCCCTTTAATACAAAAAAATAAAAAAACGAGTCATCGCATGAATATTTTAGTAATTTATTATTTAAATTGTCTGTTAATCTTGAACTTATATTTGAATTTATCACTTACAGAACAATAACAAAATGTTAACTGACTTATTATTTGACCAGAAACCTGAATATTTGTTTCACCCTAATTTTAATGTATGTGTGATTTTCAGATCAATGGAATTTCTGTATCAATTGATGAAATATATAGAATCTGGTATAGAATTACATGAAGCGGCAAGTGAGTACTTTTTATAAACTAAGATTTGTTATCTTATGATGCGACATAAATTATAAGCCACAAAATTGTCATCAATGTGAAAAGACAATGTCATCAAAAATGCACATTTGTGCATTCTTCTCTTCTATTAATGCTCAAACCTTTCATGTAGGTGTGAGTAGGCCCTCATCGACCAAATAGCATCAGACCTCACTAACACCTGACAGAATAGCGTATGTCTCGTCGGCAAGATCAATACTGCGAATTCGTAAAGTTCACGCCTTCTTGCAATGAGTTTCAATGTCTGTTCATTTTGGTGGTCATGGTAACACCGTCAATCAAAGCCGTGTTTGCATTGTCGGCAAAAATCACAGACTGTTTTCAACAAGATGATAAACATTGGGTGAAAATTTGTCAGCAGCTTATCACACATTATGTCAACAAACAAATAAACTCTGCAGTTAATGGTTACCCTTTGATGGCTGTCACTATCTGACGTTCCTGCAATTTGTTTGGTACCGAGAAAAAATCATTGAGGGAAGTGAAAAACTACATCGTTCTGTCAGGCGTGTGTTGGGTTTGGAGCTCCGCTGATGGTGCAACTCACACGATCTCATCAGGCTATTATTGGTCTTGTCTAAAAAAAATTTCAGCTTCCAACTTTTTTTTTAATTTGTATGAAACATGTGCATTTTGGTCATTCTGTGCATGTTTTGAACGTCTGTCAGTTAGCTCAAGTTGGTTCGAAAGTTAAATAATAAAAATAAATAGCCAATGTCAATAGAGTAGTCAAGGTGTTAAAAATAGAGAAAGTAAAATAATAAGTAATACCAAAGTATGTCTCTAACCCAATCCCTAATATTACATGTGATAATGTAAATAAATTAAATCCATTAAGTATTCATGTTTTCCTAGTTAAGGAATGGGATATTTGTTGTTGTACTTAACAAAGGAGCTAAGCACTAAACACAAGAGGAAGTTTATTAGCTTAAAGTAGGATTTAGATCGTGTGATAATCCAAATCTGCCTTAGTAGTATTGTAATCAGAAATTTTCATAGGCTGGTCTTTACCTATGTCACACACACTATATGATGTATGCCATCAACCTAAAAAGATTTTTACTATGACCAAGCATAATTTTGACAATACTGTAAAATACTTTATTTTAGCTGGAATTAATTTTCGCTGAAAAGACTTTTTGGGTGATTTGTACAGAATATATTTTCACTGATTTTCAACGAGTTGAATGTAAAATATAGGAAAAAAGGTATATTCGCTGGATTTTATTTTCACTGAATCATTCCTTCAGCGAAAATAAATTCCAAGCGAAAATAAAGTATTTTACAGTATTTGAATTTATTTGCTTGCTTTTAGGAGAAGTCAAAAAACTGATTGCTATCCACCATATTTGTAAACATTTATTTGTGTGAGTGTAGCTATGAAATTACTGTAGCATTATGATTATTCACTGAAATATACCTAAATTTTACTCTGTGATATAGATGATGTCATGTGACAATCAAATACCTCAAATTACTGGAAATGGCTCTATGGCTTGTTTGCTTTATTCCCAGAATATTATGCAAGGAGTGTGAACAGTCTAATTGTCAGAACACTTAAATTTTGTCAAAAAACTTAAAAATATTTTTTCATTTATTTAATTATAAGTCATGTCATGTTAAATAAGTGATTATCTATAGTAGATATATTTAGATTTTTTTTATCACAAATAAAGTAGTTTCTCTCTAAAAAAAAAAAGTACTAGGTGAAATCAGCCAAAATTCCTATTAAAGTTTTCTTGATACTTTTACAATTTAGAGAATTGAGATCCTGCTTCTTATCATAATAATTAAAAAATAAATTTTGTGAAGGTGTTACCATAGTAACACATCTTGTGGTTATGAGCATTTTATGATTACATTTATCTCCAGTTGCCTTCAAAAACATAGCAACAACACAACAAATACCCCCCCCCCCCCCTGCTCTACACTGTAACAAGACGCTTTAAAGATCCAACTGTTTCAAAATTTTCCCACATTCCCTCAGGTTTATGTATATTTGTCATGTTAATTGAAATGATTTACATTATATTTTACCATGTGTGTGTTTGGTATTCTGTGAAGTTATACATGTGATATGAAATTTACGTATTTTATATTTATCTTGTCAGATAGGGCTTATGACGAAACTCTGCTTCCCTATCATAATTGGTTCGTCCAGAAAATTTTCAGGGTGAGTTTTAATTCTCTCCAATTAATTAATTAATTAATTTACATAACACAATCAGTAGCAATTAATTTTTTACTGATTTCTTGTGATTTGAAAAATTTATTGTTGTGAAATAAAACCACATTTTTACATATACTTTAGAAGTATATAGTTATTTTCAATTCTCTCATTTTCACAGGTCGGTTTTATTGCTTTGGTGAATCGCAGAAATTTCTTAGACAGCTTGGCCGTCAATTCCAAGGACAATGAAGATCCTCATTATGATGAACTTCTTTTTAAACAAATGGACAAATATTTGTTGGATATCAAGACCATACTTGATATTTTAAGGAAATACTTTGAAGATTACCACATTGAAACATAGTTGTACTCTGGTGACCTTGCCCTTTGTTATATAATATTATTCTCTTATCATAGTTTGTTTCAATATGAAAATTCATTGTCATAATTAATTTTGAATACAAACAGGTTTTGAGATGTATACAACAGCGGGGAAACAGTCTACTGAATATCCTTGATTGATGTAAATATCTTCCAAAAACATTGGTGACTAATTTGTTTAATTATTTTAAGGGACATCATTTCTAGCTTTATTCAAAGTAATTCAGATATTTTAGTATAAAACAAATGCCTCATCTCAGAAAAAAGTGCTGCATTTAGACCTTTATTGTGTGACTACTGTATTATATGAAAAGTAAACAGAAGAATCATACTGAATTCTGGGTAAAACTTTAGTTTGTAAACAACAACATATCTCATTCACATGCAGTGTTTGAAGATGTACATTCTCAGGAGGCAACAGTACTGTTGACTTCTCTCTGTACTGGACACCAACAAACTTTTTTAGAAACATGGTACTAGTACATACAACGTACTTCAAGGCCGAAGTTGATTTGCATACAAAGCAGAGCTTGCAACATGATAGTTACCTGAAAGGGCGCTTTTTACTTTACAAATAATACTGTCGTGGTACAATGAATATAATGAGGCAGTTCATATTATTAAATCATTAATTTTTGACAGATACCTGTACAAAATCCAGCTAAGATTTTCTGTTATCTTGCATGTTTTACAATTCTGTACACGTCTAAATGCAGCACTTTTTTTCTGAGATGAGGCATTTGTTTTTATACTAAAATGTCTGAATTACTTTGAATAATACTAATACAGAAGTTTAACACCCAATTCATAGGAGTGCTTATTATATTGATAATTTGACATTATTGGTAGGTTTGCAAATGTGTATCAGACAGTGCGACAACTCTCTCCATGAGTTGGCATTGAAACCCAGTCTAGTAATCCCATGGAATTTGGGAGATACATTACCAAGGATATTATTACAAGATAAATGATTTGCTTCATTGAACACATACAACAATGCATATTTCCACTGAGATAAGTGACCTTTGTATGTGTATCACCAGTGATAAGTCAAGTAGAAACAGTCAAAATATTTTATCAGATTTTCTCAATTTTTGCATGATATTTTCATACAGGACATCTGTCATTCATACTGATGAATAAGGTGACCAAGTTTGATAAAGTTTGGAATAGAATTAGTAAAGTTATTGTGCCACAATAACAATTATTAACGACGATTACAACAACGACAATGCCAGACAGACAGAAATGTTTCCCCTAATATATCTTTTCCTTCCATCTTTGATGGTACGGGTAAGGTAAAAATGAGACAAATGTTTTAAGTAATGGAAGAGGGGGTTCATCTGAGGTTTTTATTAATTTACACAGTGGAGTAAAGAAATGCTTGAACTA